GAAGATAAAGGCCCCCAATGGGACACTTGCGTGCCTGTACACCAATGCCAGGAGCTTGGGGAATAAACAGGAGGAACTGGTCCTCCTGCTAAACAAGAATGACTACAATCTCATAGGGATAACAGAGACCTGGTGGGACTCCACCTGTGACTGGGCCACAGATATAGATAGCTATACCTTGTCCAGGAGAGAGAGTGTAGACAAAAGGGGTGGTGGTGTAGGTCTGTGTCAAGGAAAGCTACATGTCCCTGCAAGCAGACATTGGCACCCAGGGTGGATGACTGGAGACTCTCTGGCTTAAATCCATGGTGAACATGGCACAGGGGACACAATGGTATGAGTCTACTACAGACCTCCTAGCCAGGATCAAGAGCTCAACCAGGAATTTTGCCAAGGAACTGGCTAAGGCTGCATGCTCCCAGTGCATGGTTGTCATGGGAGACTTCAGCTACCCAGACATCTCGTGGGAAGAGCACTCGGCCAAATCCGAATGGTCACAAAGCTTCCTCATATGCGTGGATGAGCTCGGACTCAAGTCTATGGACTGACAAGAGGCAAAGCACTGCTTGACTTGGTACTAGCAACAGGGGATGACTTAATCAGTGACCTAACAATCAAAGGGAAGCTGGGAAACAGTGACCATGAGCTGATCACCTTCACCATCCACCGCAAAGCTGGCAAGTCAGCTAGCAATGCAGAAGTCCTTGACTTCAGGAAAGCTGACTTTGACAAACTCAGGAGGCTTGTTGGTGAGGCCTTAAGGGACCACAATCTGAAGGAAAGGGGAGTTCAGGATGAGTGGTTGCTCCTCAAGGGAGCAATCCTGGAAGCACAAACAATGTCTATCCCATCTCGGAGGAAAGGCAACAAAAGGGCACATGTGGCAGCCACCCTTGGCTCTGCAGGGAACTAGTGGACCTCCTGTGTCTAAAAAGAAAGACCTATAAAGGATGGAAGACTGGATCTACCTCAAAGGAAGAGTATTCTGCACTGGTCTGGACCTTTAGGGAGTGAATCAGGAAAGTCAAGGCTGTGACTGAACTCCAACTGGCTACACATATCAAAAAGACAATAAAAAGTCCTTTTTTAGATATGTGGGGAGCCAGAGGAAAAGGAAGGGTAAAATTGGGCCCCTGCTAAACCATATGGGACAACCAACGCCCAGAAAAAAGCCAACCCACTTAATGGGTATTTTGAGTCGGTTTTTCACCAGTCCCAGGGGATGACCCTGCTCAATACGGTATAGGACAGCCAGGGTGAGGGAGAATTGTTACCCTTCATCAATGTAGGCCATGTGAAGGAACACCCTGAGAGGATGGACACCTTCAAGTCAGCTAGCCCAAACAGTTTGCACTCCAGGGTACTTAAGGAGCTGGCAAGCATCATGGCTCAGCCACTAGCACAGATCTTCGAGAACTCGTGGTGCTCAGGTTAGGTGCCCAAAGATTGGAAGAACATCAATGTGGTGCCTATCTTCAAGAAAGGGAGGAAAGTAGATCTAGGGAACTACAGGCCCAGCAGCCTGACCTCTATCATAGGGAAGATTTTTGAAAAAATTAATCAAAGAAACCATTCTTGACAAACTGTCTTGACAAACATCCTGAGGGATAGCCAGCATGGGTAGGTCTTGCCTAACCAATCTCATCTTCTATTACCAGGTGACATAATCACCTGGACAAGGAAGCAGAGATTGACATCATATATCTTGATTTTTTTATTTTTTTTTTATTTTTTTTTTAAAGCCTTCAATCTGGTATCCCATGATCATCTCATAGAAAAACTGGCCAACTGCGGCATTGGCTACATCACAGTCTGATGGCTGGGGAATTGGCTCCCAGGTTGGACCCAGAGAGCGATAGCTGATGGAGGTAAATAATCATGGTGTGCTGTTACCAGTAGGGGGTCCCCCAAGGTTCTGTCCTTGGGCCTATACCCTTTAACATCTTCACTAATGATGGGAACATTGGTATTAGAAGAAGACTGGCCAACTTCACCGATGACGCCCAGCTTTGGGATAAAGTGTCCATACCCAAGGACAGAATGGTGGTCCAGGCCAACCTTGACAGGCTCAGAAAATGGGAGGATGACCACCTGATGGTGTTCAACACCGAAAAATGCAGGGTACTCCACCTTGGGAAGAAAAAACCCACAGAATGCTTATAGGCTTAGCAGTGCTACACTTGCTAGCGCCATGGCCAAAAGGGACTTGGGGGTCATGATTGACCACAAGATGAATATGAGCCACCACTGTAACGTTGCAGCCGGCAAAGCGAGCAAAACTCTGGCTTGCATCCATAGATGCTTCTCAAACAAAATCGCAGGATGTCATCCTCCCACTGAACTCAGCCTTGATGAGGCCGCAGCAGGAGTACTGCATCCAATTCTGGGCTCCACAATTTAAAAAGGATGTGGAGAAGCTTGAGAGAGTGCAGAGGAGAGTCATGGTCAGAGGACAGGAGAACAGGCCTTATGATGAGAGGCTGAGAGCGACGGGACTCTTCAGCATGGAAAAGTGCAGGCTCAGGGGCACCTGGTGGCTGCCTATAAGGATATAAGGGGCATACATCAGCATCTGGGGGAACATCTGTTCACCAGAGTGTCCCAAAGGATGACAAGGTCAAACAGTCACAAACCCCTCCAAGACCATTTCAGGCTGGACAAAAGGAAGAACTTCTTTACTGTTTGAGCCCTCAAGGCCTGGAACAGACTGCCAGAGGTTGTGCAAGCACCTACTCTGGACTCCTTTAAGAGACATTTGGACGTTTATCTTGCTGGGATCCTTTGACCCCAGCTGACTTCCTGCCCCTGGGGCAGGGGGCTGGATTTGATGATCTCCTGAGGTCTCTTCCAGCCCTAATGTCTATGAAATCCAGAGTCTAGACTGGCAGCTCTGTTGCTCCTTTGTTCTTTCAGGTACAAGGGATAGTTACACAGCTGCCTTGTTTTATACCAGAGATGGCCGCATGCTAGTGCCCATGCAGCACTGATGCTGTGAAGTGACATGTACATCTATTAAGCTGTATGTTAATGTGAAATACAACTAACAGACAACACGTAAAGTGGCAACAGTCAGAGTTCAGGTCACAGTCTAGTTTGGAAGTATTTGCATTGCCACAACTAACATGCTAGAGTTGGGCACAGATACATACAGGGATATTATCCATCAAAGTAGAGGAGGAAGTCATACCTCTTCTTCCCTGTCCCCCTATAACAGGACTCCAGGGGTAGCTGTGAGGCTCCTGGAGGTCAAGAGAATTTCTTGCGTCCTGTTCTCAGAGCAGTCCAGCCTTCTTTTACCTGCTATGCCTTGGTGAAAATTGTTAGGATGGGAAGCTACCCTGGTCTTAGACCAATGACCCCCCAGGTGCCTAGGGTCAGTGCCTTAGAGGCTAGGTGCATGACTCCATTTCATCCTTACACCACACCCCATGCCTCACAGGATGTTTTAAGTCACCAATCAGTTTTTTGTCCCTAGGTCTCCAGGCCACCTCAGGCTTTCTTCCCTTGTTGGGGTTTCAGCTACAGTGGGCTCAGCCTTCCTGGCTTCTGCCCCACTACTCTTGCTGGTCCCATACCTACTGTTCTAGACCTGGATTCTGGGCCCCAGTCCCTGTCTGCCACCCTGCTCAGGACTCTGGGCTCTCCAACCCATCCCCCCAACTGCTATCTTGATCAGGGATCTGGCCTTGCTCCCAGGCCTCTGGCTACACCTCAAGCCTGCCCCTGCATGGCTCAAGACACAGGTGCCCCTAGAACACCAAAAGGACCTCCAAACCACCCCTTAGTCCCAAACCCAAGCCACCAGTGCAACTCAAATCAAAACACCTCAGCCTTCTGGCAGGCACCCAAACCCTCACCAAGTTTAACATAAGATAAAGGCCACTTACCTACATAATGATTCTTTCACTTTCTCTAATCCAGGTAACTCTCCCTTGTTCCCAGGCCTGCAGAGGTGCTTCCTTCAAGTCCCACTGTAGATTTAGGGGCTGCACCATGCTGCTGCCAGGAACTCCTAACTCCACAACTCTCAGAGCTGGCCACCTTGACTAGCTCAACTCCATGGCTTTTATATAGCTGGAGCCTGAGCCCTCTTCTGGTCATGTGACACCCCTGTCAGCTGACTTGGCTACAGGGCTGCTCCCAGCTCTGCTGACTACCTGTGCTACAAAGACCCTGCCCTTAAAGGGGCCATGTTGTTTTTCAATAAGAGGGCCAGGGTTCCCTGTTACGCCCCCTCCCAAAGCTGAAAAAAAAGATTTCAAATGAAGCCCATGATGGGGGGCCTTGGCTCTCTGCTGTGTTTTGTGTGTTGAGGGGTTATTACTGTAAAAAAAAAAAAAAAGCCAGCCATGATTACAAAATCATTTTTCTGTAAATTCTTGCCAGTTGGCCTCCCTTTGGGGTTTTGCTGTTGGGACATTCTGACTAGGGAACACTCTAAATGACTTCTTGGAAACCCCAACAAAACCCTTGGTTGTACCCATCCTCATAGTAAACTACTGTCTTCACATCAAGAATGCGACAAAATTGTGGGAACAAAAAAACCCACAACCCAAAATGGTGGTACCTGAAACTTTACAGAATAATTTGCAAAAAGAGATGTCTCAATCACTTCTTTTCAGTTCCCTGTCAGTTCTGAAAAGTTTAAAAAAAAAAAAAAAAATTCAAGCCAAGTGAAAATTAAGGTTTTTCAAAAATTTTCACTAAGTAAAAATATAGAAAAAAATAAACTGGGATTGAATAAAATGTTTTCTTTCTATTTTGAACATTTAAAAAATGTTCTGTGATAAAGTTGAAGGAAGTTCCAAAATGTTTTGCTTGGAAATAATGAATGTTTCATTTCAGAAAGTTCTGAAGAAAAATGTTGTGATTGATTTAATAATTTACATATTTGTTTATTCATTTATTAATTTTTATGTAAACAGTTTATCCAAACTGGTACAAGTTTGTTTAATGGTCAGGTATCACTGTGACTGCACTTTTTGCCTAGATAGAAGATTCAGCTAAAAAGTAAAAAGAGAGAGAGAGAGTCATTCCTGGTTTTATTATTCACACACTGCCAGTTCCATTGGCAGTCACTTGGAGGTCCTATATTTTCTTTTATCTGACCCTACTCAGGCTAGGTAACAGGGTTAAATTTCTGCAGTGAAATCCTGGCCACACTGAACTAACTCAATGGAGGTTTTGTTGGTGACCTTGCTGGAACAAGGTTTTGCCCCATGCTCTGTCTGCTCTAAAGCTTTCACTACTGCTGCCACTCGGTGGGGCAACACAAGAGTACACTGCAGATCTTAATTTTTCTGGAGTCAGCAAGACCATACAGCAGAGAAGCATGTTCAAAAGATTCAAGAACTCTGGCATCTTCAGAACCCACTGCAGCTAACAGAAAGGAAAACATGTCACTGCTTATTGACAGGAAATAAAGCTGCTTATATCTGACTTACCTCTCTGTTTTATGCCTGGTTTTCTTTCACCTTTGTTTTATGGGTTATTAAAAAAATCCACAAATACTATTGCCTATTTCTAAATATGAATATTGCAAGTGCGTTCACATCCCTTCTGAGATTGTCTCCCATGTAACAGTAACAACAATGAATTTATCATAAGTTTGGTCACAAGATCTTTCACTTGCAGATGCTGTGAATTTCTGGCAAGCCTTTCTAATGATTTTTAGAAAGTGTATTTTAAATTCATAATTATATGCATGGGTAAGTGTCACAGAGCACAGAGGTGCCCTGCTCCTGAAGAGGGAAAACTGCTAGGGAAGGAGCCCTAGCAGTAACTAAGGAGCACAGCTGTGGGTTGCTGGGGCAACCAGGGAAGGTCAGCTGACCAGAGGGGGCAGGGCCTGGCCCTTATAAAGCCCAGGAGCAGAAGCCTGAGGCAGTTCTCTGCCAGCAGCCAGAGAGGCAGGAGTTCCCTAAGTCATGAGGTGAGGACAAGCCTAACTTCAGGTACAGCTTGACCCAAGTTGAGCGATGTTGTTGTAGCCAGGCGGCTTATGTTTGAGTTATAGCCAGGAGGAAGGAGGCCTCATAGGGGACCCACAGTAGCATGGGGACCCCAGCGCCAGTGAGGGCACAGCATAGGGGGTACATAGACCCCAGCCCCCAGAGAAGGGGGGCACTATTGAGAAGCCCCAGTGCAGGTGTGGAAAGCCCCAGAGAGGGGGTGATTTGAGAAGCCCCAGTGGGGGCATGGCGAGCCCCAGGAGAAGGCAGCATGATTGAGGAGCCCCAGTGTGGGCACTGTGAGCCCCAGTGTGGGCGTGGTGAGCCCCAGACAGGGGGCAGCATTACTAGGCAGCCCAAGAGTGGGCGCGGGGAGCCCCAGGAGAGGATGTGAGCATCATAGAGAAGGCCCAGAGAGAACAGGAAGGGGCCAAGATAGGGATAGACTTGAGTTAACATCGGCGAAGTGTGGACTGCGGTGTAGGGGAGGAAACGGAGCCACAGACAGTGCCCCCTAGCGGCGGGGCAGGACAAGGGCAGCCTCCTGCTAATTATCAGTAATTAATTAAATTAAGAGCAAGGCATGGCAGGAGAGTAGGAGGGCAGTTGTCCCAGGAACAGGTGTGGGGGCCACATTAAGGTCAGCCCAGAGTGGGCACCTGTCACAGTAAGCCAATAAAAAGTGTATCTTGCATATCTCCCTTGGTGTCAGTGCACAGAGAAGGTGAATTATCTTTTAAGTTCATGGTGTAGAAGAACATGTTCTTGACTCTCTCAAGTTCCTTGACTTAATCCAGTGATTGATCATCACAGAAATGCAATGGAAACTGACTTAAGGAATATATTCTTCCAATCGGAGGATGGAAGTGTGTCCATGTGACTTAGATGACCAATAAAAAGAACCTAAATGTCCAAAACTCATAACAATCGCATCACAAAAAAGTTGTAAGATAATGATAATGATAATGATAATGCTCAAAATTTGTTCTGTCAATCACTGGGGACATCTACACAAGATGTTTACTGCAAAGTTGCTTAATTAGCTCCACAATAAAGTCTCAGTGTCTACATGTGTGGCCCTGTTAGGCCACAGTAAACTAATTAACTCTGCTGAAGGTTATTACTTGCAGCCATAAGGATAATACTTGTGTTTACATTATTTAATACACAGCAACACATGTGTAGACACTGATGGGGATGGCTGGGGCACAACAGTGCTTCAGTCTGGGGGCTGCCTGGTGCCTAGCCAATACTGGAGCACTCTGATGCCTCAGCCAACCCCTCTGCAGCATGCTGAGCCATGCTGGGGGGGCCCCTGCCAACCAGGGCTACTCTGACCCGCTCAATTGTGCAGCAGTTCCAGATACACATGTAAATGTGTCACCTGGGAGCAATAAACTCCAGTGTGATATGACCCAGAGTGTATAGTGTCACATAGATGTGCCCACTGAGAACTGCATCTGTGAAAATTCTAAGCTGAAGATAACACACAGACATAAAATTAGGTGGCATTCTTTGAATAAGTTAACTGGTATGGAGTTGCTCACCAGGTCTACTTATTACTTTCCTTTGTAGCTGCTGAGGCAGGTTATAGTCAGACATTTCCTTATTATCTTCCCTTTTAGGCCTCTATCCTGCACAGACTTATGCTCAAGGCTATTCCTCCTGAGTTGAGTAGGACTGTGGTGTGCGTCAGGGACACAATCAGTAACCTGGCACACAAACCGTGTTCTATAGTCCCAAGGTCTCTGTAAGCATAGCATCTTCATGGAGCTGGTTAGTTCTGTCCCACAGAGAACTCAGGATTTCACAGCTGGCTACTGCTCAGATGCTCTTCTCATTGTGAGAAATTTGGAACATTTAAGATACTTCTGGCTGGCACCAGCTCTTCGCAGCCAAAGCCTGAAGGCACAAACTGCTGACAGTTCTCTATTCACTCTATCCCTTCTCCATCTGCCTTTGCAGGCGGCTTTGCACAAGCACCTGCTGACAACTGGATCTTCACAGCCTTTCCCTTGATTTCAGCCCAGTCAGCATCCACCCTGCTGGCAAAAGCAGCAGGAACTCTTTGATTTCTTCCCATTTCTCTGCCTGGCACATTGGGATGTCTGGATCACTAAGGGTCTGGGGCTGGTTTACAACTACTTGTTGAGAGAAAAAAAGACTGTGTGTGCAAAGCAGAGGATGGTGGGTGGCAGAGACTCCCAAACACCATGGGTGTAGCTGGAGCCAGCCATCCTAAAACTAACTGTTGTTTAGGCAGTGCTGCTGATTCAGACCTGCTTCTCAGCATGAACTGGGGCTGCTTTACAGAAATCAAGGATCATCACCAAGTGCCACACAAAATGCTGGCCTCGGCTGTGGCCCCACCCCTCATTTGCATTCATTCTTCCAGTAGACTTACAGGTACTGAAGTGACCAGTCCTGACTGAGGTGGAGATGACCTGGGGAAGTGGTAAGAGCAGAGAGCTGACAGGATCTGTGTCACAACTGAAGTCTGAAAAGTGAGCCTGAGGTCAGGAGCTGAAGATCCATGATAAAAATCAAGAGCTAGAGGCAAGGCTAGTGTCACAGGCTGGCTAGGTGCTGTGAGTGTATCAGCCATTAGGCTGCTGGGTTCGGGATCGAGGAGGCGAGTCGGGAGTGAAGTAAAGGCAAATTTACTTATAGCTTAGCATACAACAGTTAACAAAAAGGTTAATGTGACTAACAAATAGTACAGTAATAAAGAGCTAATAGTAAATAATAACAACAGACAAAATGACAAAGAGTTCCCACATGGGGTTGGCAACTTATCGGCAGTCCCTCCATGCCAGGTGCACGCCAAGTTGTTCCAGCGAAGTCAGGCGTCCCTGATCAACACTGTCCGAGGGGTCACTGGGAAGGTCCCTTGGTCAGGATCCGGTCCTCGCTCACACTGGGAGTCCGGGTTCCAGGCTTGGTACAGTGATGGTCCTTCTGTCCCGTTCTTCAAACTGGTTACTCGACATGCGCGTTCTTTTATGCCTTATCTTATGCTAATCTGTTGGCTTTAGAGCCACTCGCAATCTTGCCCTATAGCTGTTACCCTATGGGATTAAAAGGTGTTAGAAATTATCATGAAAGGTTACAGCCTGAA